AATGTTGCAAAAACTGAGGACAATTTAGAATAAGAAACATGGTTTGAGATAGGGTATTTAACACATGTTCTTCTTTCTTTTCTGAGGGCAATTGGAAGATCAAGATGACTAGAAGTATTACCTTTTTCACTCCCTGTCATTGAGTCAGAATCATGCACAGAAGTAGGTTCAGGAACTTCCTCTATCCTTTGATTTGGAATTCTTCTCTCATAAACTTTGCCAAAGAATTTACTTGTCTGTTGATCTCCTTTTTCAATTGGTTCAGTTGTATTTATTTCATTATTTGTTAATTCTTGACTATTTTCATATGCACCTATATTTTTAAAGGAATGAACATCTAGATCAATGTCAAGAAAATTAAGGTTTTCATGGATATATGGCACTGTTTGATCATCTTCACTCAAATTCTCCCCCTGAAGATGATTATCAAAGAAAGGTTGATCTTCCACAAAAAAAGTGTCCATTGTAACAAACATTTTTTGTGTTTTAGGATCAAAACATTTATACCCTTTTTTAGTGGAAGAAATCCCTAGGAAAACACATTTTGTGCCTCTAGGATCAAACTTACTTGCAGATTTATCTGGGTTTTTAATAAACACTGTGCAACCAAATATTTTCAAGGGAAGAGTACCAATAAATCTGTTTGTAGGAAAACAGTTTTGTAGTGTGTTGATAAGACTTTTAAATCCCAGAATTTTTGATGGCATTCGATTAATCAAATAGGTAGCATGTAACACAGCCTCTCCCCACAAATATTTTGGTATTTTTGTTGAAAACATGATTGCACGAGTGACTTCAAGTAAATGTCTATTTTTTCTTTCTGCAATTCCATTCTGAGCTGGTGTATTGATACAAGAGCTTTGATGAATTATTCCTTTTTCAGCAAAAAAACTGTTTAGGGTTTGAGAAAAATATTCACGGCCATTATCACTTCTTACCATTTTAATCTTGGTATTGAATTGAGTTTGGACCATTGCATAAAAATCCCTAAACACTTTTTCCACTTCAGATTTTTCTTTGATTAAAAATACCCATGTGACCCGTGTATGATCATCTATGATAGTCACAAACCATCTCTTTCCTTTTATAGTAGGTACTCTAGATGCACCCCAAATATCACTATGGACCAAAGTAAAAGGACTAGTAGGTTTATAACTGTGGGGAATATAAGAATTTTTATGATGTTTTGCAAGTGCACACATATCACAATGAAACAAAGACACATCTTTATTAATAAATAACTGAGGAAACACCTTTTTTAAATAATAAAAACTAGGATGTCCTAATCTGTAGTGAAGTAAATACAACTCTTTATTATTTTAAAAAGAAACAGTTTGCAGACAAGCATTTCTTTGACCTCTTTTATTTGATTGAGTTCCTTCATCAAAGATATAGAGTCCATCCTCTTCCCTAGCACTGCCAATCATCTTCCCCGATGCCAGGTCCTGAAAAATGCAATGAGAAGGATAAAAAATAACACAACATTGTAGGTCTTTTGTTAACTGACTAACAGAGGCAAGGTTGCAAGACAGATTAGGGACATGTAGGACTTTGGATAGATTAATAGATGAGGAAAGTTTAATATTTCCCATCCCTGCAATGGCTGATAGAGAGCCATCTGCCACTTTTACTTTTTTGCCCCCTGCACAGGGTTTATATGAAAAGAAAAGGTTTGAAATGGAGGTCATATGGTCAGTAGCACCTGAATCAATGACCCAGGTACTTTTAGATTTCCCAGAACAAAAAAATGATGAAGTGGTACCATTCTGGGCATAAGAACAAGAGGAAGATTCTGGTTTGGAATTTTTTTGAGTATGGAGAAGGTTAAGGAGTTGCTCTATCTGTTCCTTTGTGAAGGAAGGCTGCGTGAAGTTGACTTGTGGTTCTTGTTGAGTCTCAGCCATAGTTGTATGTAGAGCCTTGTCAAACTTCTTCTTCCCTGCTCCTGGTGGCTTCCCATGTAATTTCCAGCAAGTGTCCCTAGTGTGCCATAGTTTCTTGCAGTGGTCACACCAGGGTTTTTTCTTTTCTTCACTTCTGGCCACCATTGCTGAAGAGTCTCCAGGTTCATCAGCCTGTGCTGGAGTATTGTACATGACTTTCTTCCTACTATCTTCTATCCTGATCTCAGAAAATACCTCCCTGATTGAAGGCAGAGGTTTTTTTCCAAGTATTCTTCCCTTAACTTCATCCAGGTCTCTATTAATTCCTGCTAGGAACATATAGACCCTATCATTTTCCTCCCTCTTCTTGTGTCTTGCCAGATCCTTGGCACTTTCCCACTCTTCAGCATCATAGCATTGGTCCAACTCTTGCCATAGGGATACCATCTCATTATAGTATGAGATGACATCTCTACTTCCTTGTTTGGACTGCCACAGCTTTGTTTTTAACTCATAAATCTGAGAAGAGTTCTCTAGATCTGAATAAGTTTCTTTAATGGAATCCCATACCTCTTTTGCAGTTTTCATGAACATGTGAGGTTTGGCGATTGATGCATCCATTGAACTGAGAAGCCAGGCTGTTACCAACGAGTTTTCTGACCTCCAGACACTGTAGCCATCATCTCTACTTTTCTTCTCCTCTATTTCACCCGTTATGTATCCCAGTTTTCCCCTTCCATCAATTGCCAGTTTGACAGACTGTGACCATTCTAGATAATTAGTTCCATTCAATCTATGTCCAGTAATGAGCATAGATGAATTAACCGAGGTCTGGTAGTTTGTCATTTGGCTAATTTGGGAGTGAGGATGATGGGTTTGTGAGTGAGGGGAAGAATCAGAGTGCTCGGTTTCCACCATTGTGGTGTTTAAACAGCCTGCTCTGATACCATGTAGGTTTTGGGAATTAATTTCATTGATTGAATATGCCAATCGGCCAGAGTATTTATACAGATATACAAGTAACTAATCAGCTAGTGTAGATCCTAAAAAATAGGATCTTGATAACTACAAGCTTATCTCTTAATAACAACTTCTATTCTAATCTATTCGGCTAAGTATGTACACCAAATTAAATCATGTAACATTTTCTACAATAATGTAACATTTTCTACAAAATTAAAAGCAAAATTTGGTAGACTTAGGACGGGTGACAAAGGTAAGGTAGATGTTGGGACAATTGTACCCGTTCCAAGAACGGGTGACGTAGATCCGTCAGCCAAAGTAACACTAGAAGTATGAAGAGGTGTGTGGAATGAGGAAAAAAGACCAGGATTACCTGTCATATGATCTGTTGCCCCTGAATCGATAACCCATTTTGAGGATGAAAACACAAGACATGTGTTTGGATTACCTGAATTAGCGACAGCTGAGATAGGAGTAGATGAATGCTTTAGAGCCTCCTGGTAGCAAAGAAATTTGGTGTATTTCTCAGAAGACATAATGATGGAGCCATCAGATGGCTGTGTAGCGGAAGCAATGTGAGCAACTTGATTTCCTTGATTTTTGAACTGTAGTTTTCGACAATTTTTGATCAAGTGTCCGGGTTTCTTACAGTAGTTGCATACTACTCCTTTGCCAATCGATCCAGTGCGTGGCCATTTCTCACCTTCTTTGGGGAATGTTGGGACCTGCCCTACAAAAGCATTGCTTGGTTGAGGTGCTGGTGATGTGGATGAAGTGTCAGTGCGAAGAACTCTACTGAAAGCATCTTGAAGAGAAGAGACCGCATCACCAGACAAGATATGTGATTTGGCTGTTTCAAAATCAGTCGTAAGACCAGCCAAAAAACTCATAACCGCCATTTGTTCTCGTTGTTTCTGCTGCACTTTGATATCAGGACTAAATGGCATTAATGTATTAAGCTCTTCATAAGTTTTCTTGAAATCCATAAAATAAGCCATGAGAGGCTATCTTTCATTTCTGCTCTGTAAAAGGCTTTGCACACCTCATAGATGTGATTAAGATTACCTTTGCCTGAATACATAAATTCCAAATAATCAAACAGTTCTTTCACAGTATCACAATGACTAACATACCCCATGATGTCATTCTCCATGGAGTTCTGAATCTGGATAAATAATCTTGAATCATCACGAAGCCAGGCATCATTAGCAGCTTTATCAACTTCCTCCTTTGGCGGATCATCAACTAAGTGGGTATATTTATCAATGCTCCTTAAATGACGCTTGATAGTTTTACTCCATTCAAGATAATTGGAGCCACAAAGTTTATTCTCAGTAATTTTAAAATTAATGGGAATAACTTCAGAAACTATCAAAGGCCGACTTTGTGTTACTGCAGAGCTATCGGCGTCAGAACCAGGCATTTTTGATTTTTTTTTTGTATTTTTTTTAGAAATAAAACTTTAAATGAACTTACAGCCTTTTTCGTTTATGGTCCAAGTTAGAACACAGCCCTTCCGCCTGGGTGTTGCTAGAGGAAGCCCCGACGAGTCTGGAGAGGGTTTCCGTTCGAAGCTCCGGTCAGACGATCGTCGTCACGCGCCGGCGCGTGCGCAAGCCACGAGACTTTAGGGTGGCGCGTGTAGGTCTCTCGCGGTGATTGGGACGCGCGGATTCCCACTGTCTGGTCGCCGGAAGAAGGCGCACCAGTGTAGGGTGAAGGTGAGATGGGTTCTGGACTAAGGTTCTGGGGTTGGTATAGGCTGATGTTCTGTGAACTGAGGTTCTGAAAGAAAAGAATAAAAATGGAAACTAAGCTAAAATGGAACATATATGCTTTGATACCATGTTATCGGAATTAAGGATAGGATAGTAATGAGAAGAGAATGATTTTCTGTGTATTTCATTGGAGGGGTAAGTCCCTATAAATACACATTACAAAGATAGAATATTCCTATAAGATTCTATACAATAATAATATCCTAGAGTATATTCCTAAAATATTCTAAAGTATATTCTAAGGATAGAAGAATATTCTAAAGTATATTCTAAAGTATATTCTAATGTCTTTCACAATATGCTTGATGAAAATTTGTGTTATCATTTCTTAACCAATTTATTTCCTGCTTTATGATATCCACTCTTCTAAATATAGGGGTTAGAGAAATATGTCATGACAAAGCTGTATCTACATGTTTTTGCCTCACATCCTGAAGATGTGAAAGTTGATGAACAACTTCATGAAAAGATGGCTTTGATTCAACAATTTATCCGGCCAGAGAATTTGGATATCAAGCCAGTCTTTCAAAACGAGACATCATGGTTGGTGAGTGAAGTATATTCTTATGTAAGTGTATGTGGTTAGGGTGCGCTGCTCTGATGGATCTACCTAACATTTTATATTATGATTATTAGGAATTTCAGGTATTGCCTTTTATTTTTGTTGTATATATTACTTGGGTACAATTGAGTAAGTATATCCATTGAATCACGAAGCTCTCAAATGAGTTCTTAATGCAACAAGATATGAAAGAGTAATAATGCAAGTAAGAATCTATGCTAAATCCTGCTCAAATAAACTTGCAAAAGTTTAAGCAGAAGTTGTTAAGAAGACAGATTGTTAAATTCATAATAGAGATTTTGAATAATGTTATGAGCTGGTGTGGTTTGATGCTCAAATGGTTAAGAGCACAATTACATTGGAGCTTAAGAGATAGATTATGTCGGAAATGGTAGTGTGATGCGAACACAGAAAATTGGAGTAGAAATATTATTGAAGTTATAGAAAACACGAGGAATACAGCCGAGACCAATTCGAGAGGGCCTCGATCTCTCCCAGATCCCAACTTTTCCCAAATCCCAATTTTTCCCAAATCCCAGTCTGCCCTCTCCCTATACTATTCCTTCTATTTATTCTTTTCCAATGAGGCTTCTCCTCAGTTTAACTAATTACTTGGCTCAGCCCAATTCCCTATTACAGATTATTAAATATTTCAGAATTGATCCTATTAATTCCCTCGCTATAAGCTCAGGTTCGTATCATCACTATCCCCTTTGACATCCACCTTGTCCTCAAGGCGAGGAGTAAGAAACAGCCATGCCATTCAACTTCAGCCTCGCGCCCCTTCCCAATACTTCAGCTCGGATACATGAAGTGGCAAAACCTTCCCATTTGGATTGAGAGCTTCAGCAATTAGGCAGTCACAATGATTGGTGTTGGTAGTTGCTTGCTCAAGGTTGTTTGCCCGAGATGACGATGGATATGCAATTATGCATAACTCTCATTCTGTTCTTGATTACCCTTAGTCATCATCGTATTTGATTCCTAATAGCAGCCATTCTCATTTTCGGTTGGCTGCGAAAGACTTTCACCATTTTTTCTTCTCATATGGCTTCTCTTCACTTTCAACAGTTCTTTTCCAGGTAAGAAACAATAGCAATCTGTATTTCCTGAACTGCCTCATACTTTCCATTCACTGCGAAAGTTTTGGCAAGTAATGCACACAAATAATGCACCTCAAAGCTTTTTAGTTTTATTTGGTAATATTTCACCCAAATGATACACCACAAGTTACTCTTTCACCAAGCACTTCATGTTATGTACACAACAAATTACGCTTTTTCCATACACACTTTTTTTGAATCATTTATTTTCAAACACTACTACCTTTTATCATTTATAATAAATCACTCTTTTAAAAGTACAAGCAAACTGCCACTGCCAAACACCTTGTGCTTCAATGACATCATTGTACCACTCCCAATGAGGAGGTTCCACGTTCGAAACTCATCCCAGTCAAGGTTGTTTGTATTTAATAAAACACCAACATTATCCCAGTGCCGCAAAGTCTCCCACCAACGGTGGGGTGTAATGGGGGGTCGGATGTACGCAATCTTACCCCTATACTAAAGCATACAGAGACTATTTCCGTGTGACCATGGAAATTGCGTCGAAAATTGCATGGACCGACGGTTGCTTGCCTGCTTCATGACAAAGAAGCACAAACATTTTGGTGAGCCATTTTGCTTTATTCCATCATATTCCCAAGCAAAAAAATAGTGAATCTTTGGCTCCATTGGAAATGATGGACAGTGGCATTCAATAGAACATATACTATAATATGCGAGATAGCGCATTCAAAAAAAAGTACAAGCAAACTCACACACTACCTTCATATGACATTATATATATTATAAAAAGCTACTCATTGCTAATTATTTTTTCCATCATTTGCAATGGAGAGAAAGATGCATTATTTTTTGGCTTGAGAATATGATGGAATAAAGCAAAATGTCTCACTAAACTGTCTGCGTTTCTTTGTTATGAAGCAGCAGTCAGTCCATGCAATTTTGGACGCGATTTTCACTATGGGTCATCCGGAAACAGTCTCTATGTGCTTTAGTATAGGGGTAAGACTGCGTAGATCCGACCCCCTTACCCCACCGTAGGTGGGGAGCCTTTGCGGCACTGGGGTAAATGAAAATGATGAAATGACTCATTGCTAATTATTATCACCGAATAGTTCTTCTTAAAACAAAGTAAAAAAGGTAATAGAAAAGGTTATTTGAAAGTTGAAACCTAAAAAACTAATGCAATTGCTTATATATCCAGATAATTGCCTAGTAGGACCTAATGCATAAATTTGAAAACACCTGTAATTTAAGTTATCCCAAACATGCTCTAACTAGACGTCTTATGTAGTTTAAGGGTCCCTTGAGTTAGTGAAGATATTTGTTTACATGTGCATGCACACTCGCAGACATATATTGCACACATGCATGCTGTGTATCTATGAAGGATGTAGGTACAAGTATGTAATATCAATAAATCTCTTGTTATTGAACAGTTACAAAAAGCAGTGGTACCAAGAAGTCTAATTCCTGTTTTATACCTTTTCTCAGCTTGCTCAGAAGGAGTTGCTGAAAATCAATATGTACAAGGCGCCAAGGGATAAACTTGTTTGCATTCTTAACTGTTGCAAGGTTATCACAAATCTTTTGCTAAATGCCTCCATTTCAGAAAATGAAAATCCTCCGGGAGCAGATGATTTTCTCCCTGTCCTAATATATGTCACAATAAAGGTAACCTACTTATCTGCTCAAACATGGGGACTTGTAATATCTGGATATTCTGTCACTCTAACAAAGTTGGGGCCTGTAAGTTTGAGAGAATAGAATGACTTGATTTATTCCATCACCCGGGTACAATATATATAGGATACAAGTCTAACAAACTAAATGATGAGATCCTAAAAATTAGGATCTGACTACCTAACTATCTTTATCTCATACGTGTGAGATTTACATCAGATAAGACTAAGTATTTATCTACAAATTAATCTAACTATACATTTTTACACTCCCCCTCAAGTTGGTGAATATATATCATACATTCCCAACTTGCTTACTAGTTTCTCAAACACTGGTTTGAACAATCCTTTTGTTAGAATATCAGCAGTTTGATCCCTGGTAGGCACAAATGGTGTACACACAATTCCAGCTTCGATTTTCTCTTTGATAAAGTGTCTATCCACTTCAATGTGTTTTGTTCTGTCATGTAGGACTGGATTGTGTGCAATGCTAATAGCTGCCTTGTTGTCACAATATAGTCTCATAGGTAACTCCAATTCCATATTTAGTTCTTTGATCACCCTCTTGATCCAAAGAAGTTCACATATACCATTGGCCATTGATCTGAATTCTGCCTCTGCACTGCTTCTAGCTACCACATTCTGCTTCTTACTTCTCCAAGTCACTAGATTTCCCCATACATAAGTGCAGTACCCCGAAGTAGATCTTCTATCACTTACTGATCCTGCATAATCAGCATCTGTGAAGGCCTCTACTGCCCTACTATGGTTCTTTTTGAAAAACAAACCTTTTCCCGGACAACTTTTCAAATACCTAAGAATTCTGTAGGCTGCCTCAAGATGTTCTTTATATGGACAGTGCATAAACTGACTTACCATGCTAACTGCAAAAGCAATATCAGGTCTGGTATGTGCTAAGTATATAAGTCTTCCTACCAATCTCTGATATTGTTGCACATTGACTGGAACCCCATCTCTGACATCTCCTAACTTCTGGTTTGAGTCTATAGGAGTGTCAGCTGGTTTACATGCACTCATCCCTGTTTCTTGAAGAAGATCTAAAACATACTTCCTTTGAGATACAATTATTCCCTCTTTTGATCTAGCTATTTCCATGCCAAGAAAGTATTTCAAATCTCCCAGATCTTTGACTTCAAATTCAGCAGCAAGTTTTTTCTTCAGGCTTTGTGTTTCTTCATGAAAGTCTCCTGTAATGATAATATCATCTACATAGACAATTAATATAGCAATCTCCCCCTTACTTGAACATTTTATAAATAGAGTATGGTCAGCTTGGGCCTGTTTATATCCCTGTTTTTTAACAAACTGTGTGAACCTATCAAACCAAGCCCTTGGGGACTGTTTGAGTCCATACAGGGATCTTTCTAGCTTACATACTCTTGAACCAAACTTGTTTTCAAACCCAGGAGGAGGATTCATGTAAACTTCCTCCTCAAGTTTTCCATTTAAAAAAGCATTCTTCACATCCAACTGTTGAAGAGGCCAATCTAAATTTGCAGCCAGGGATAGAAGAATTCTGAAAGTATTCAGCTTTGCAACTGGAGCAAAGGTCTCGGTGTAATCTATGCCATAGGTTTGTGTATAACCTTTGGCAACTAACTGACGTGCACTTTGTCGTGAGTGCACTCAAAATAAATCGATACTAACACTTATACGTAGTATAGGTGAAGTAGAGTTCGTATCCACAGGGAAAGAAATAACTTTCTTTTTATATAAATAGTAAATAAAGGGGGGTTTTGATTGTTGAGTGATTTAATTAAATTAAACACGAAGATGAACGATTTATATGGGATTAAATTCAAGAGTAAAAGGGACTTGGTCTTGCTACTTTCCACTTGTTGATATATTTTAGTCGATCATTGTTATATCTATAACTTATCCCCTCTCGAATACTCAATCGAGGAGTATATCCAATTCATCGAGGGTAGTTATTAACAACGACCGTTCATTAATAACCCTTACTATTAACCAAATATAGAACAACGCCGTATACCGATTTAATAGTAGCATTTAACCTCTTTAACTCCTTGATGAAATCAATTGAGATTGATAACCTCAACACAACAGTTTCGGTTTAACCAACAAAATTAATCCCTCTTAAGTTTATTAACCACGACCGTGCATTAATAAACCGAAGTTACTTACTTATGAAACCTTCAACGTTTAACCATTGGTTCGTTGAACGTTTCTAGTAATAATCAATGTCGGAACGTTAACTAATCGTCACTTAGCCACCCTCCAACAATGATATAGAATGAGATTAAGGGAAGAATTAATAATCAAGAGGAGAAAGTAAGAAAATAACTCACAACTTTAATAATCAATCAAGCTTCAAGAGCAAAACCAAGAAATGGAAGTTTAGCTCCTCATTTGGAGACTAAACATGCTAAAAGAAATATAGAGAAATGCTATTCTAAACTGAGCTTAAGAGTATAAAGGAATTGGTGTCTTTTTTGTGGAGGAAATGTGGTGTATTTATAGGCTTTTTAGGCCTGCAGGGTCGTGTACCCGATCGGGTTTTCAGCCCAACCGATCGGGTAAGGGTTATTTCCTCGAAACTGAAAATCTGGGGTCATACCCGATCGGGTATGTCGGCCACCCGATCGGGTATGGATACGCGATCGAGTTAAAAAATCCTCCTGCATGTTGCCTTGTTCCCGGGTTGATTCGATTTGACTTTTCAGCAACTTACCCGATCGGGTATAGAGCATACTCGACCGGGTACACTACCAAAAATCAGAATCTTCATCTTTTCTTGAAATCTTTGCACCTTCCTTCCATTTGTGATGTTTACCAATGGTCCCTAGAGTGGTCTTGGACCTGTTTGAGCTCAGAACCAACCTAATCTAAACAATTTACAAACATTTTACAAACTAAACTATTACACCAAAAGTGTGTAATTTCTAGAGTAACAATCACTCAAAACTAATCAAAAACACAATTATAAACACGGAAATAACATGAATGTCAACTCCCCCACACTTAGTTCCTTTACTCGACCTCGAGTAAAACCAAATGTTTATACAATGTTTATCACAAGATCATGAGTTCATAGAGAGGAAGAAATAAGAAACTAAAACCACCAAGTATAGTGAATGAAGTTACAAAACAACATTTCCTTGGGTTTAATGGTCTTCTATGCTTCCTATTTCTTCTTTTTCTCATCTTCTCTCCTTTTTCTTCTTCTTCTTCTTCTTCTTCTTCTTCTTCAAGAGATGGTGTCCTGCAAAATAGAACAAATTTTTCTCTCATATCTCTCATTTTGCCTAGGAGCCTTTTCAGGTTTTCATCCTAGCATCTCTTTTCTTTTCCTTTCCTTACCACTCACTCATTATTTTTTTTTTGTAAGCCCTTGTTGCTTAGATTGCCCTTTTGGGTTTTCAACCTAACTAGCATTTCATTTCTTTTTTTTTTTTTGTGTCTGACTAAAACAAGAAAATAATGCTTAGTACAAGGTAGAAATAAAGGAGTGTACATACCAAGAAATAGATCTTCCTCCCCCACACTTGAAGCATGGCACTATCCCTAGTGCCCGCCTTCACCACCATAGTAGCCTCCTCCAAAGCCGCTTCCGTGCATGTCATCACCGCCTCCCTCGCCCATGGTAGTGTCCCCGCCATCATAACCACCCATGCCGGAACTAGAGCCGCCAAAATTACCCCAATCGGAGGGGTTATACCAAGAAGGTGCCGGTGGTGGTGAGGCCATAGATGCAAACCCGCCAAGTTGGGACATGTAAGAATATGTCGGCCCATACATCCTCCGGTAGTCTTCCTCGTATCGTTGCATGTCGGCCGCCCGTTGTTCCTCCAACCTTTGAAAAGCCAACCGTTGCTCCTCCCGGTACGCATCAAACCGCCGGTCTCTTTCTTGTTGCTCGTTCCGGTAGTGGCCTATCTCTCCTTGAAGTTGGGTGAATTGCTCTCCCATCTTTGTGTAATCAAGGCTCATTGTTTGGAAACCGGTTAAGAGGGATTGTTGACCCGCCAAGAGTTGTTGGAAGAAGTCTTGTGGTGGCGGGTTTTGGGGGAGGTCGGGGATATCATGTTGGACATGTTCATATCCCTCTTGGTGCTCGGGTTGCTCCGGTTGGGGGTCGGGTTGTTCGGCTTGGTCGGCTTGAGCTTGGAGGTGAGGTGGAATGTTGTTGGGTAGGAGGTAATGTGGAATGTGGGCGGGTTCCATCTTATACCTAAGTCTAGGTAATTCATCGCACGGGAGGGGGAAGTATTTGACCGGTTCGGGGTACTTCATGTGCCATCTATACCGTTGGTTCCCATTGTGGTCTTTGTTACCCAAAGAGATCAATTGTGCATTGGATAACCATCCAAGATGCATCAATGAGTCTCTAGAAATTGTGGCATTATCCACATAGCCAAATTTGGAAGCCAAATGCATGATGACTCCCCCTAAGACAATGTTCCCCCCTTTGGTGATGGCCTTCTCTAGATGATCCCAAATCAAGTTGCAAATGTTGAACTCAACGGGATTTCGGAAGAGCGCAAGAGTGAGAATGGCTACATCCCCTATCCGAGTGTGATGGTTGTTGGGGCGGCCAAGTAAAGAGTTGCACAAAAATTTGAGGAAAATTCGGAGGAGGGGATGTTGCACGTGACTAATGTATAGTTGACGTGCTAAAATTCCGTTCTCCGGTCATTTTACCCCAAAGATTATAAGCATCCATGGTATTGTCCGGGATTTTCCTCTCATGTGGGAATCGGAGCCCGAAATGCTCGGCAAAATCACGTCTCGTTATGGTGTATTCGGTGTTCATCAACCGAAACGAGAGTGTATCATCATAAAAATGATTTTCATCCAATACAAATTTGGCCGAGCTCAAAAATTCATATATAACCCTTTCATTACAATTATATTGCAAATTAAAAATCAAGGCCATATGCAATTCATCAAAAAACTCTCTCATACCATCCAACAAACCAAGAGAAGTAAGAGCTTCATGGCATAAGAAACGAGA